CGGGCAGGGCTGGGCAGCGCATGCACCCCGGGGGCGGTGCCGAGTGCCTGGGCCCAGGATGCCAAAAGGGCTCAGGTTGGCCCTGAGTGTACGAGAGATGTGCTAGAAATAAGAGTTGTGAATCAAATGCAGACTTCTTTAGCTATCATCAGATAGGTGTCTACCAGCAATGAATCCATAGGATCTAGGTGAACATATTGGGAAAGATAACACACTCACTCTGTTTGCTAGTCATAGGCTCATAGAATCCTAGGGCAGGCAGAGACCTCAGGAGGTCATCAAGTCCAGCCTCCTGCCCAAAGCAGGACCAACCTCAACGAAATCATCCCACCCAGGGCTTTGTCAAGCTGAGACTTAAAAACTTCTAGGAATGGAGATTCCAGCACCTCCCCAGGTAACCCATTCCAGTGCTTCACCACCCTTCTAGTGAAATAGTTTTTTCCCTAATATCCAACCTAGACCTCCCCCACTGTAACTTGAGACCGTTGCTCCTTGTTCTGCCATCTGTCACTACTGAGAACAGCCTCTCGCCATCCTCTTTGGAACCCCCCTTCAGGAAGTTGAAGGCTGCTATCAAATCCCCCCTCACTCTTCGCTTCTGCAGACTAAATAAGCCCAAATTCCTCAGCCTCTCCTCATAGGTCACGTGCTCCAGCCCCCTAATCATTTTGGTTGCCCTCTGCTGGACCCTCTCCAGTGCATCCACGTCCTTTCTGTAGTGGGGGGCCCAGAACCGGACACAGTACTCCAGATGTGGCCTCACCAGTGCCAAATAAAGGGGAATAATCACTTCTCTAGCTCTGCTGACAGTGCTCCTCTTAATGCAACCTAATATGCCATTAGCCTTCTTGGCTACAAGGGCACACTGTTGACTCCTATCCAGCTTCTCATCTACTGTAATCCCCAGGTCCTTTTCTGCAGAACTGCTACTTAGCCAGTCGGTCCCTAGCCTATAACAATGCTTCGGATTCTTCCATCCCAAGTGCAGGACTCTACACTTGTCCTTGTTGAACCTCATCAGATTTCTTTTGGCCCAATCCTCTAATCTGTCTAGGTCACTCTGGACGTTATCCCTGCCTTCCAGCATATCTACCTCTCCCCCTAGCTTAGTGTCATCTGCAAACTTGCTCAGGGTGCAATCCATCTCCTCATCCAGGTCATTAATAAAGATGTTGACCAGCCCTAGAACTGATCCTTGGGGCACTCCCCTTGAAACTGGCTACCAACCTGAGAGCAAGCCGTTGCTCACTACCTGTTGGGCCCAACAATCTGGCTAGCTTTCTATCTGCCTTACAGTCCATTTATCCAATCCATACTTTCTTACTTTGCTGGCAAGAATATTGTGGGAGACCATATCAAAAGCTTTGCTAAAGTCAAGATATATCACACCCACCGACTTCCCTATGTCCACAGAGCCAGTTACCTCATCATAGAAGCTAATCAGATTTGTCAGGCATGACTTGCCCTTGGTGAATCCATGTTAACTATTCCTGATCAATTTCCCCTCATCCAAGTGCTTTAAAAGTGAGTTGGTGTAAATTTTAACATCCATAATGGTCAAGTGGACATGCACTTAAATGATGCATGTGACCATACTTTTTTGCCCCTCTCCAGGAATCTGGAAACTCATTCCCCTGCAATATACCTTTAAACAATCCAGTTAAAAGGGGATTACTTTAGAGGCATGGTGTCCAACATGCTAGCCACATGTGGCTAGTGGGCTGGTTGAATGTGGCTAGTTGACTACTATAGTGGCTACTACTTCAGAACTGGTTGGACAGCATAGCTTTAGAGCATTATAGCTACTCCCTAGAAAATGTGGAGCTGTATTGGATTTTAATGTCTTGATTATATCTTCATCTTTATCTGCAGCTATTAGCCCAGCAAGAGCTACCACCTCATCCTCTGAGAGCTAACTGTGGTTTACACTTTTCAAACAGCTATTTATAGGTTCAGGATTTGGACGTTCTGATACAATTTGGAAAACAGAAGCAATTGTTCAAGAGATCTGTTTGCTGCCAGTTACTAAATCTCTCTATTTCTAGCAAGAGGACTGGCTGGGTTTTTCTTTTTTTTTTTTTTATCCTTTTTTTTTTTTAAACTTTCTGCCTAGCAGTTTCAGTGCCTTTTTCATAATATTTTTGTTTACTAGCTCCGGCTATGTCTAGACTACATCCCTTTTTCGTAAAAGGGATGTAAATTAGATGTACTGCAATTGCTAATGAAGCAGGGATTTAAATCTCCCCCGCTACATTAGCATAAAAATGGCTGCCGCTTTTTTTCCCACACGGAGCTTTGTTGGAAAAAAGCACCAGTCTAGACGTTGATCTTGCGGAAAATAAAGCCTTTTCCGAAAGATCCCTTATCCCTCTTGAAATAAGGGGAAAAAAAGCAGCAGCCATTTTTATGCTAATGAAGCAGGGGAGATTTAAATCCCCGCTTCATTAGCAATTGCGATATGTCTAATTTACATCCCTTTTACGAAAAAGGGATGTAGTCTAGACATAGCCTCTGTGTTTGCATGGCCTTAATTGTTTGTACTAGATGTGGTAGCTTTAAGTCGCCCAAAACAAAATGTATTTTAAACCAACCACTCTTCTTAAATAGGTCTCATTTTGCTGGAATGCCGCCTTATTTATAGGGATCCCCCTCTCTGCTGCCTGTGCAGTATACAGGGAACACTTCTATTGCTCCTTTCTGCATTGTTTTTCTCTTCCGGAAATTTTCATCCTGCTCTTGAATTCTAAAGGGATCATTACAACAAAGCTCCATTTAACTGCCAGCTCCTTTGTTTTTCCAGTGAGCTTCAGTCTTTTAATCTAATATATGCAGGAGCATAAGCAGGCTAAGTTATAATTCCCAGATGGCTTCTTTAAAGAGGCACAAATATACTGGAGAGCTCGCATCTGGCTGGGGCAGGGAAGAGGCCTGGTTGCTTTGAACAAAAGATAATATACTGAGTGTGAGCAGACGTGGTACTCATGGAAGACTCTATTAATGTCATGATTGTTAATTTTCAGGAGATGGCCAATCCAACAAAAAGGGAAGGGGTACTCTGCCTACTGAAAAAAAGGGTTGTTGTACTGTTGATTTACAAGAAATACTCTTGAAGAAAAGATACGATAAATACCTGCATAATATTTGGATACCATATGTCACTCCAGGGGAATCTAATAGAGAAGTGGCAATACTGTTTGCTAAAAAAAAAATCCCCTTTAATGTCTCAGTTCAACTTACAATTAGAAGGCAGATATTTTAAGTAAGGGGGAGTTAAACAGGTAAACTTCTCAAGATAAGAAAACATTACTAGAAAAAGGAAAGATGTTGGAACAATAGATTCTGTTTCAACAAACATTCTATACCTACACAAGACTAGACTTCAGAGTATTTCTAGTCCAGTCAACAGAAGGAAATTACACATTAGCAGTATTATTCAGGATTACACATTAAGGATGTAAAAGACTAGTTGACTATCCAATAAGAAATTGCTTATCAGATAGTATTTTGACAAAGTGGGGGTGGGGTGGGAAGGGGTACTTCAAAGTGACAGTGCCACAGCCACTTTAAAAAGTCCATGTC